AAAACTAAATTTTAACTTTAAAGCTCGTTTTTCTCAGAATACATATTTTACCATTTTTTCCAATGTGCCCCTCCTTTTTCGGGCACTTCTAGTGCTCGGATCTACATGACATTTTGCCCAAATTTTTTCGAAAGTATGACAAACGCAATTATCTAGTTTAAATTCAAATACTTTATTGTATAAAAAATAAGTTGTATGTCAACTTTTACTAGGGTAGGTGAAATATGGACTTTTCATGTCTATTTTTATTAGTTATTTGCATTCTACACTTTATTTGAAACATTTTGAACTAAGAATGGTAAAAAATTAGAGAAGTTTAGGGATGAAAAGAGGGGGAGGGGCAAAAGGGTTAAGTTTTTCACTTTGTCATGTTGCAGAGTTAAAAGTGTGCAACTTGCAAGAAAACTAATTAAATATTTGAAGTCAGCATAAAAAGTGCCATAAACAGCTCAAGTTTCATTGCTCTAGGGTGAATATTTAAAAAAAAAAGTGTCTTCGAATAGCATCTACCCTTAAGGGCACAAATGTGATCACTGGCACATGTGCTACAGATGGCTCGAATACCCTTCGTGTTGTGCTCTCAATGCAAACAGGCTGCACAAAAAGTGCTTTGTTTCCTGGAGTGTATGCACTGCACCAAAGAGCGGGTATGCACTGCACCAAGGAGTTGGTGTGCACCGTACTATCCCGAGGGAGCTAGAATGTCCTCAGTTATACACAGTTAAACAAATATCCTCCAGTTATACACAGTTAAACCAGAGGTAGGCACCTTCCCAGGCGAGAGCATTAAACCCCCTTTGTCCCCCTTTAAGTGGTGTTGGCATTGGCCTTCTACCAAAGCGGAATGCCTTCCAAGTACATGGCGGCTGCATACTTTGCATGTGCTAGAGAGGGAAGGGACGCACTTCACCCGAATTCCCCATGCAGAGACATCTCTGCAAAGATGCCACAGCATCTTCAAGGATGTGCCCAAGGAACTGCAAGTTCAGCGCACATCTCAAAAGTGGCTGCATCATCCAGCAGACCTCACTGAGGAGGCCCTGCTACTGAAGGGTCCTCAAGGAAGCAACATAATCGTTGTGCCTACAGTCATCTGCTTTATGTGTCAGCTTGACGCCACTGCATCTTGTAGGGCAAGACTGTTCACGTTTTCTCTGAAGAATCCCTACTTGCCTCCTGAAGTCTTGCGTCTCTTCGGAGGGCTTACTCCGTCTACTGGACATGCGAACAGGCTTTGCCGTATCCTTCGCTCCGAAGCTTGGCAACAAATCCCCTTCTACACAGAACGCTTTCCCAGTGCAAATTTGAAGCAGGCACCAAAGGATCGGGGAGAGGTTCTTTCGTCGGGATCCTCGCTTAGCGCGACAAGCAGCTGAGTTTTTATGGGGCCAGCTTCTATCTTGGCTGCCAAAAAAGAGAGGCTAACGAACCCCACCAGAAAAAGAAGTCGTCATTCTTGGAGACGTTGCAGTTCCTGCAGGTGTAAAAAAAGTGTTGCAAAATAGACCGAAATTCTGAGAGCATTCAAACCTGGACAAGGTGGAGCTGCTTAACCTCGTAAGAAGCAGCGTTGAACGAGTAAAAGATGACGAAATTGGTCGACTTGTCCAGGAGGGGGTTGAGTGCCTTTTGCAAGACATCAAGACGGCTTGACAAAGGTCTAGTGTCGTCGTCGCCAGCCTACGAAGGGCCGATGTCAAGCTTTTCCAATCTGATAAGGAAGGAGGGCTTGTGCTTATGCCAAAGCAATCGTATGACGGCAAGGCTAAAGAAGCCATGCGAAAGAATTTCAAGGTGCTCCCAGCTATCAAAAGAACTAGAGCGTGAGAACACAAGCGGCAAAACTGCGACAAAGTGGGAATAACCACTTTAGAGAAGTCCGTAAAAACGGCAAAAAGCCTGAGCGTTTCGGTCTTCTTTTCAGTGAAGACAAACAAAGAAGACAATCCCTTCAGAGCCATCATCTCCGAGTGCAGTACTTGGCAGCACCCTGTTGCATTGCATCTTCAAAAGTCTTTAGCAGTCCTGCCCATCGATGAACACTGTCGAATCAAGAGCCCAGTCACTGTCAGTGATTACCTCCGGAATGGGTGTCCGAAACGAGAAAGTGCCATCTCTGTTGATGTCAAGGACTTGTTTTATTCTTCACCTCATGACCTTGTGTGCGATGAAGTTAGCCAGTGCATTGAGCATTATGGCTGCACCAAATTTCAGAATGCATGTGGAACTCATATTCACAGGTTTTCGGAACTACTGCACTTTTATCTACATTCGACCTTTGTACTTCACAAGGACACCTTCTACACTCAGCGGGAAGAAGTGTGCATTGGCTCGTGTTTAGCTCAGGTTCTTAGTGACCTGTTACTTGCGTGGTATGACAGAAGTCTCATGGCTAACATTAATTAGACAAGCACAGTTAAAGTGTTCCGCTACGTTGACGACTTTTTAGTGTTTTACCGCATCGATCAATCTGACCCTCGGCAAACCACCAATGAGATATTTGACGCATTTTGGAGTGAAATAAAGCAACTGGAATTAACGTCGGAGCTTATTTCTGATACCAAGCTACGATTAACTAGAATTAACGTCGGAGCTTATTTCTGATACCAAGCTACGATTTCTAGACTCGGAAATGCTTTTTTTGGTGAACCATGTCTGTTGACGATACGAGCCACGCATAAAAAAAAAGCCTTCTTCCTTTTACGTCCGCCCATTCTAAGCTAGTCAAGCAAAGCATTGCTTTTTACTGCCTAAAGGCAGCTCTAACTCGCTCTTGTCACCACCAGATAGATTGCAGTTTTTCGCCCCAAGTTCACCGCCTTCAACAAGCAGGTTTTCTTAATCCACTGCTAACTTCCATTGCCGAGACTCTCGTTAAGTCACTAAAAGTGCCTGCTAAGGGACAAAGCAACAGCCAACTCAACAAGCCTCATTCTAGCACGGCTGTTATTCCCTACGTACACGAGGCCTCCCATAGGCTAAAAAAGGTCGCTGGAAAAATAGGTGTAAGAGTTGTGTTCTGCGCACCCGACAAGCTCGCTGGGCTACGTCGCACGGTCAACAGCGAAGGACCTAAGAAAGAAGCATGCATTAAGAAACATGCTACGCGCTATGTTGAATGTGTTTTAGCGATTGTATACAAGATATTGTTTACTCGTGGGCTGTGTTACATTGGCCAAACAGGCCGATGCATAAATGATCAGTTGAGGGAGAACGCTTACTCTCTAAAAGGCTCCGTTCCCAGCCACTTGGCGGACCGTTGTAAAAAGTGTGGTTGTCAGCCAATTTTTGACAAGTGTGTGATCATGGGGCAATATAAAAATCAGCGTGAGCGCGAGATTACCGAAGCTTTCCACATTCAACAACTTGGTGCTTTCTGTGTTAGCGTACCTCGGTTTTGCTTCACGAATGTGAAATTTGTTATTTGGAGTCCACTGGTGTGACTGGCTCTTGGTAAGGTAGGCCGTTAGGCGCATGTATGTGCGATTTTGCTTATGTTGCGTGGTTATGCGCAGATTCTGTTTTCCTATATATTGCAGTTCGTTTGCAATAAACCTTGGTTGTTTGTTCAGTGCTCTCTTCTCGTCTTTTCTATCCCTTTCTGTTGTTTGCATTACTAAGCACTTTGTTCGTCTATTGTGCAATACTATGATGTTTAATATATTTTTTTTTTTTACCATCAGCTGTAACTCTGGAAAGCAAGGGGTGGACATGTAACATGACGTAGCAGCTTCAAAGTGGGCCTTCCGACATCAGGGCTGTCAGCGATGAGCCCGGTCTGAAAGGTGCGGGTACCAAAACCAAATTGTGGCTGCTCCGACCAGGAGGCATTTTTTTTATTATAAAATGATATTTTTTGAAAGCACACGAAAAATTAGAATTAGGGCCCTTGCACTCACGAGCTTAAAAAGGAGGGGCCTTTATTTTAGGGGCCTTGACTGCAAGAGCGATTACAAACGCGGATGTGCTGGTGAAGGAATTACGAAAAAGCTCTTCTGGATGAAGACCCATGGATAAGGTATATTTGAGGAAAAGTGCAACGCGTCCTCAGCATTCACATGCTCTTCAATGGACACGAAACACGGAAAACTCGATCGTGATGTTTAGAAATAAAAGAGACAGACATTCTGGCAGCAGGCGTGTATTGGTGAAAACTGCTTCAATTAAATGCAGTGTGACTCTTGAAATGAGCAGCGTTCCTAGAACGACGACGTCCACCAATTAATCGCCGCTGCACGCTACCGATTGGCCTAGACATCAAGAGCCTCTGCTGAGAGCGCGTTTAGCCATGGAGCCTACTTGCACAATAAAAGCAGCATCGACACCAAGCATAGCATCGCAGATTACTTGAGACGTACACACGACTGCTTTTCATTCCGCAGAACAGTTCTAGGTATCAAGATCTGACATTTGCAGCCCCAAGAACAGGATGCACATGTTTTGACGCACCCACGTGGCTATTGACGATGATAGGCACGCCCAAATCTGACACTGGCGTAATGTGGCACAATTTTCTTTCATATTAGCAGGATGGCGCAGTAAGTCTTATTTGGCGCAGGAGTGGAATCACTGTGTAGAGAAGCGAGAAGGCCTCAATATGTATTCAAAGCATTAATTATGTGCACTTAGTTGATACAGTGGCTGATCACAAAGAATTATGGCTTAACCTTTTGTAATGGGTGAGAAGCTTTGAACCACCATTCCATTATGCCGTTCGCATTGTGAGACACATGGTTGTTATTTTCCTCTTTTAACATGCTACAGTACATGTGTCAACTCGATTCCTTGTCCAGCAAGATGCCTCTATAGGGTCTACTTGTGAAGGAGTGTCAAGCACCTGTGTTGCTTTGTGACAGTGTACTAGACTCCCGTGAATTTTCCTCATTGTGCGTGGTCACTGATATGGACACTGGCAGTAGACCACTGTGCCATGAAAACTGGCTGTTGTTTTACAACAGCTTTCGTTCGCTGTAAAAGTGTTGCCACACAAAATCCCGCACCTTATTGGCCAGTCCAGAGCGCTTCGGTTCTTCCTTGCGCTGCGCAAGGTGCGTGGCACCGACAGCCTTGGGGGGCCGCACGGTGCTCCAAGTGGTGTCATCAAGGTTGAGCTTAAGGGCCGGCACACCCGACATACGTCGTGCCAGGCCTGGTGTAGATGGTGGTGTGTCCCGTGGTGTGGTATTCTGCGAGGTGGCAGCTGTCGCTGGCTGGCTGTTGGCCTCCTGCTCTAAAGAGGGCCCCGCCACACTTGCAAGCGGCAGCAGGTCCTCTGTGCTGGCAGCCCCTAATGCCTCTGGAAGGCTGTTGAAAACAAAACAAGTCACCACATCAGACATATGTACTTGGGTTTTCTTGTTTTCCTTGTCTTGTACTGTGTTCTTGTTTGCACAGGCCATCATGGTCAACAGATTTGTGCATCTTAAGCAAGCATCTTATCAAGGATGGCTGTACATGCAAACCTGAAGAATTCAGAATTAACTTCTTACCCTATCACACGTATACGATAAACCCGAAACAAATGTTTTTTCTTTTTACAGGAAAGGTACAGGAAACAGGCAAGCCACATTCAGGGCAAAAACACAAAAGGAATGGCAGTAGTTCAAGTGATTACGCTATAGACCAGGACACGCCTATCTAGCATCTAAGCGCCTAGGCTCCCGATGCATACTCTTGCACCCAGACAGCCACTTTGCTCTGAACTGCCAAGGCAAGTATTTGTTGTGCCAAGTTGACATAGCAAGCAATGTCTTTGGAACTTTAAAATACAAGGGAGCACCTCACTATGAATGAAGGAAAGGAAGGCTATTTGAGGGCTCGTTTTCTTTGTTAGACAAAGTAATAATGAAATTAACAGGAAAAAATGACAAGTACAGGGGGTGTTATATAAGGTAATAGTAATGTAAATGTGAAGAAAGAAAAGTGGATGAAAAGATAACTTGCCACGGGCAGGGACCGAACCTGCAGCCTTTGAATAACGCGTCCGATGCTCTACCTGAGATACCATGGAGGCTACACCACCTATCCATTTCATTTATTTATACTTTATTTATTTATACTTATACCTACAGCACCCTCTCGGAGAATTGTTGTAGGGGGGTTTACAAATTCAAAGTACATTTAAATCAGTGGGGACAAGTTGAATTGCTTGGCACACAAAAAATAAAAACAAATCAAAAATACCTAAATCACAGCATACAATATCATTGTGTGACCACATACTCCTTCAAAAGGGAAGGAAATGCTGGATTGGCTATATGTGCAAACTAAACATGGGAGTGTCAGTCAGTGTTGCCTGTAGCCATTAGGGTGAGTGTGGAACACTCTTTATGCCTGTTGGCGTCACATAGAGCATGATCTTATTACTAGCTGACAGATGAACAGTAATCTCTTGTATAATAATTGAATGCCGACCGACACTGACACTTAATTCGCACATATACCCAATAAAGTGGATGGGGTGACAGCTGCCATGGTAGCTCAGTTGGTAGAGCATCGGACGGGTATTCAAAGGTCACAGGTTCTGTCCCTGCCCTTGGCAAGTTATCTTTTCATCCACTTTTTTTTCTTCACATTTACATTACTATTACTTTGCTTGGCACTATTGTCTCTTAGATCTCATTATTACTATGAGAGTACTTAGTCACGCTGCTCCCGCTTCCCGCTTACAGGAAGTAATCTGGGCACCCCTGTGCCATCGTTGGATGCAAAAAATATCAGCACAAGAGGAACATATTACTCAACGCTTCCTGTAGAGATCACAACACGACGTGGGAATTGTGCCAGTGTGGTGTTTTCAGATTGCACAGACTCTACCAATTAATAATTGAAATTAACACGAAAAAACTATTGGCCCCAGTAAAAGTGTACAAGTAGGTACACTTACTGCATGATTAAAAGCTTGATGACAGCTATTTCACTTTGCAGCAGTAATGTTTATCTAGTATTCCTGTAGTATGCAGTACCAAATCATTGCCGTACTCTTTCACAAGTCACGTGCCAATAATATGAAATATTAAAACTCACATGTGCATGCGCGAACTGTGCATGTTGAGTGCAACTGTAACGGTGTACCATCGCAATGCAACGAAACAAGGACAGCAAAATACATGGCTTTCAACTCAATTGAACAGCAACATGCTTTGGCTGCCGTTAGGCAAATCTGTGCTTTCAGCTGGCGTGACTGTTGCTCTAAAAAATCATGCTCTGGCTGGCACTTTTGGAAAACTTGTGTGTTTATAGTGCTAAGTATAACTAGCACATGATAAACACATATGGTGCATGAGCGCAAGCTGGAGCATGAGCGCAAGCGCAAGCCGGTGCGGAATTCTAGTGCTCCTATGACGACGGCTGAAAGAACAAGTTTTGCCTAGCAACCGTCAAGGCATGTCACACTTGAAAACCACGCTTTCCGCCGTTCTAGCTTCTTTCCATCGCGATAGTATGTACCCGATAAAGTTGCTTCCGCAGACTGCAATGCACGTGCTGTAGGCATTCCGGACTTTCGAGGAAGGTCTTCTCAACGTTCCACACACACACAAAAAAAACAGCAGATCTTTCCAGCAAAGGAAAAGCACGGAACATGCTTAAAGCCAGGCTTCGCTTGGGAAGCATCATGTTTAAGTTGTGGAGCATCTGCTAGCATGGCAGCTCGAAGTATTACTTCATCGCACTTTGTGACAGATCGCATGACGTGCTGCCTAAATATGGTGCGACACACTGAACTCGTTGTGTTCTGGTATATATGTGCATTTCATGCTACACAAGCTACATCTAGCAACATAGCAAAAGACAAGTAGCCTTTTGAAATAATGCACACAAATGACAAATTCAGAAAGAGTCCAACGTGGAAACCTTTAATTAAATGCCATGGCACAGTTCATTGCTATGACACACATCAGAGAGTCAGGCACAAAACAGTTATATGCAAAGAGCCACTGCTGTGAATGCATGGTCAGATAAACCGGTAGGTCGGCAAACTAACTCAAGAGTTGAAGCCCAAATGAGTCACATTGCAAAAAACTTTAGTGAATCTGGGTCCGAGTGAGTCCAGTTGAGGAAAATATTAGCAAGATTTAGTCCCTCGTAGATGAGTCTTTTGCACAAAATATATTTTTTGAAGGAGCCTGAGTAAGCCCTACCTTTTGTTGCCGACCTATGGTGATACCTACCTGTTAGAACCATTACTATCAGTTTTATATTGTCTTACCATAATACTCGAGTCTACTCACACGTATCTCAACACACTAGCGTTCATATGCCAGGTCAATATTTATTGAACAGAAATGTGAGTTAGAAAAAAAAGCCCCATGTCCCCCCCCTTCCCCCCCTCCAACCCAAACTTTTCCACGGCAAGTTCTTGACAAATGTATCTCTTGTAAGTCGCATTTTCGATAAAAAATGCAAGATATTGGCATTTGAGACATTGGCATCAGGACAAAACGCTAATTTTATGCCAATAGACTTGAGTCGAGTCACTAAGGCTCCCTCACACACATGCGAAATCATTAGTCTGAGTGAGTGCGGTTGTGATTAAAAGGTCCCTGCGACACAACTCGAGCATGTCTTTTTCATCAGTTCTTCTGGTGCCGTGGAATGGGCCGATATCGTTACACAAGTTGCAACACCAAAATTGAAGCTGTTATAATTTATATCATGAAACAAACTACCTTGACTTTGGACTACGGCGACACACATTGGCTATTTTTGTAATGGGAAGTGACATCATGTCATGTGAAGTGACGACAAAGACCAATCATTCTTTGTTGGCTTGACGTGACAAATCGCGTACAATATTCATATGGTGGTAGCTAGGCTATACGAACGAATGCTGAAAACCGTAAAAAGCCCTTTTCACAATTTTTCAGAAATTACTTGTTTCTAAATTATGTATTTTCAGAACAAGGAACACGACACTTAGTCTGTGAACGCAACTATGGTATGCCAACAATTATAGGTGGAAACGCATGCCCTGTTTTTAGAGAGCCAGAAATAAGGAATGCGGTGGACCCTAGCATTGCCGTAAAACGCGTCTTGCATACAGGTCAAGAAGTGTCCCCACCTAAATTGTTTGCATGTATCTTACACAGTGTGTGACCGAAGGAGTGCCTGCTACTCAACGCAGAAGGTTCGTGGTATCCATGCTAACGATGCCGTCAAAAAAAGCAGTAGCGAGATACTATATGAAGATCACCATGAAGCGACATTTCCCGTATGTTTTCAAGCGACCCGTACTGCGATTGGAAGTAACCTTCGACGTCAGCAGGCGAGTGAAGAGCAAAAGGAAACGTTTCTCATCGTCCCCTGCTCAAGTTTTGAATTTAGAGGACTTATCCCTTTTCGTGCACTGATTTGCATCATCCTTGTTGCATATGTCTCAGCAATCATTGCTACAAGCATTCCGGTACTAAGTAAGACTGTCGCAAAAGTGTTGCAAGGCCCCTTTAAGTTTAGTGATACAAGTAAGTCCAGTTGAGGAAAATTTTGGCGAGTATGATTCCGAGGAAGTCTTTAGAGCAAAATATATTTCTTGAGCGAGTCTCAGTAAGCACCAATTTATTAGGTGACCTATGGATACACTGCGCACTTTTTTAATTAAAAAGGTATTTAATAACAGTGCCTCGCCATGATCTTGCCTGCAAAGTCTGCAGAGCAACTTTGAAGCACACCGAAGTCTCCAAGCCACAGATAAAGGAACATGGGCATTGCCAAAGTAAAGTGCTATGAAAAGATGATGACTAAACAGGGTTTTTAAACACGCATTAGAACTACAAATAATAAGCATCTCTGTAGTTCACAAATATTGTGACTCAAGTCACTGCAGCAGAAAGTTGAATATATTGTTACGTCTCCCCAGCCACGTCATTGTGACCTATCTGTGGGACCCTAGCACTTTCTGCGGCACTAATAAAGTACATGCTGAAAAGTGGCTGGCCAACTATGAGCGTGTCAGCAAGACCAACCATCAGGGCCCAACTTTAAGGCGACTACCTTAAGAGAACAGGCGTCTCTCATAATCATATGGTGGTTTTGGGACGTTAAACCCCACATATCAATCAATCAACCTTAGGAGAACAGCCAGTGTGTGGTTCTACATGCACGAGGAGGGGCTCACCAGTTGAGATGTAACAAAAAATGACTTCTTCAGAAAGGTCCTTTGCACACCAACAAGCAGCCCAGAAAGAACTCTCATGCCATGCACAAACCTCGACGGAACCGTACATAGTCTACATCCAAGATGTTCTAGCCCTGTGTCAGCATGTTGACGATCACATGCTCTTAGCTGACAAAGTCAGCCACATTCT